TGCCTCAGCTAAAAGTAACCTTTGCCACAAACCCCTTCTTTCTGTGCTTTCCTCCTAAGCTTTCCATGTCATTTTTCTTGATGCCATCCAATGTAATGTGATCTTTTTTTTTTTTTTTTTTAAAATGTATTCATCAAATGGTCTGACAGCATATTAAAATTTTCCTGTGCAATACAGCTAATTAGGACATCTCATTTAGAAAGTAAACTTTGTGGAAATGAAAATTCTCTTTTTTGCACAGAAAAACACTTGGCAAATAGCTCTCACATGATAAACTTGATTTCAAGACATTCACACGCTCCTAAAAAATTGAGACAGGTTAATTGAGCCACAATAATCTTGTTCTTAATTGCCATGTATAAAAATGTCATTGCCTTCCTGATAGCATGTGGAGTTGCTACTTAACTCCAGGCTTTGTGTCAAGTTAACTTTTTTTAAGGTTTATAGTAAATCTTTGATAACTTGCTATTTCACGTGCTGGTCTCATATTTGGATGGGGGGGAAGAAAAACAGACCAGTTCTTAGACATCAATTTATAAGTTGTCATCCTTTTACCTTCATTATCACTTGAAGTGCTGCTGCCAAATCTTAAATAATTCTGATGTTCATGTAGTTTTCTAATAATCGTGTGCTTTCTACATTCTCAAAATGTTACCTTCTTCATGCCATGTGAAAATGTCCTGTTTGTTTGCCACAAGTGCAGCATAGTGAACACTAGAGATGTGGTTGTTGCATAGAGCTCAGTAGGAAAGAACAACTTGGCTTCTTGCTGCTCTTCTACAAGATTGCATAAAAATATTACTGAATTTTGTCAAAACTTAGAAAGCTTGCCTTTGGAAATTCTGATTACTTCAAATCTATTAATATTCTCCTTTGACTTCTCCCTCCAATGCTTGTGCTTTTTATTTTTTTTTTAAACTGTTGGCAATCTGAATTGCAGCAAGGAGGGCTGGTGACTCTGATAGGAAAGCTAGTATAAAGTTGGACTGAAGTTGCCATCTCAGCTTTCAGTTTATTCATTCCTTTTCCTCATATTGTTAAGTATTCTTCCTCCTTTCTCAATTTTAAATGCTGTGTGATATTGATAACATGGTGCTTAATTTAACCTTGATGTTCTACATCACTCACCCCAGCCTTCACCATCTCAGCTCAACGCTGAGGTGCCCACGTGTTCCATCTGCCGCTCACTCTGCCTGCTCCTCTGATCACCCGGGCCTTGGGACTGGAAATATCTTAAGTCTGCAGTGTTTTATGTTCTCTGTAAACTAAACTGCTTCAGCATGATTAGAGTTTGGAGCTGTGCTCTTTACTTGACAACATTTTGATGTCTTTCATTTCTCTAAAAATATCAGATAGCCTGTATTTGCTTTTTTTTTCTGGTAAGATCATCTTTCTGTTGAGTACCATATAGAGATAAAGGTGAGGCTGTGCTTGCAGGAATTTGTCTAAATTTCATTCAGAATGGTTGGAAAAAGTCTGCAGAATCTCAGTTTGGATTCTGTAATTGGGATTATCTTTCTCTTTTAGAAAAATACTGTTGGAAAAGGACGTACATTTCTTTGCTGTTTGAAAACACTAGCATTAATTTACCACCACCTCTGTAAAAGCTAATTTTATTTACAGTGTGGCTTGGTTAGGAGAAATACAGTTGTGGGGAAAGACTTTATATATATATAATTTTAGCTTTTATTTTTATAATCCAGGTAAATTAAAGGAAAGTTTACTCTTTCAGTTAACATTGTTCAAATATTTTGATGGGTTTTCCTCAACTGTGTTTAAAAAAAACTATCCTTTAGTTTTAGATAAAAAAGAACAGTTTCATGAGGCTCCCACAGCGTCCTGAAAATAAGCATTTGAACTAACCTAACAAAGTGTTTGTTGTGAGAGTTGAAAGGTGGATGATCTTATTCTCACAAGAGCATGTTCTGTAGAGAACTTTATCTTGTCCTTCCAGGCAACATAATGGAGGAAAATGGGGATTCATTTTGCTCCTAAAACTTGCAGGTTGCATAATTGTTGGTGAAACACATGACAGTAAGACAAAAAAATTAAGAAAAACATTGGCCATGTGGATTCTCCTGGGACTTCAAGGAATTATGGTTTTCCCCCTTTAAAAGGGGTTTTCTGGAACCATCAGCGTAGGCTGCTCCTTCCATGTTCTTTCATTGCAGCATCAAGAAAAAACTTGGTTAAACACCAAGATCACTAGTTCTTGGTTCTACCGCAGTTCCTACAAGTCTCCAAAATTAGTTTTAAAACTGTGTTTCTGTTCGTTGGTAATGTTTACACAACAACATCATTTATTGTATATATAACTTTCACAGTAGCATCAACAGTTTTGCAGGGTTTGAATTTTACTGGGTTTTGCCTCTTACACCTCTGTCCAGTTCGACTTTCATAAACATTGTCCTGTTGTAAATGCATTGTTTATAACAGTGAAAAAATTGGTTTTTTTTCTGATTAAATGTAATATTTAAAGTACCGTATAGAGAAAAATACTATATGCTTGTCTCATGTAAACATATACATATGTATGTGAGTGTGCACACAAATACTGTTTTCTGTATCAGTTAAGTTATTAGTAGAAAGCGAAGCAGATGATATTTCAGGTAATTCAGGCTCTGTTCTGATTTTAGCCAAGTGGAATAACTTGGCCAGTATTTAGAGGGCTTTCAAGTTCTCTTCAGAAATAATTACTGGTTTTCTGATGGTGTTTAAAACAAAATTAGAGGGTTACTTTATAGAGGACATGAATACAGAACAATATGTGTATTGGCCTTTAACACCCAGTGGTAAGAAAACGAGTTTTTTGTCAAAAGAAACCTCTGAATAAATACAGAGCTTAATGAATTTTTAGTATAGTGTATGCATATCAGTCTAGCTCCATAAAATAAGGGAATGTGGATAATGCTTTAATTGCCAAGACACCAGCCTTTTGGTTTTTTAAAGAGGGATGAATGGCTTGCTGAGACTGCCTGAGTTCCCTTCACTGCAGCAGGCAGGTCGGATGAGTATGCCTGGGTTACCCGAGACCTACAAGAGCTGTGTTTTGAAGCGGTGATTGCTGCAGGCCAGGACTGACATGGCCTGTTCCTCCTTCCCTGCTGTCCCTGTGTTCAGTGGCTTCGACTTCCCCTTGGCAGACTAGCTGTTTTGAACCTCCTCTCATTTAGCTGGTGCTTGGTATCGCTAGCTTGAGGCACGATTTTAAAATTTGGCCTCAATCTGACTTCTGCCTAGCAGCAAAGGTTATGAAATGGATGTGATGAATGGGTGATCTTTCAGGAAAATATTAAACTCCTTCATATTCACACTGTCTCCCTGTAAACCGATGGAGTTTGGCATGGAGTTTCTTACAGTTACAAATAAAACCCCTGTACCCAAACTCTGAGCACAGCTGTTTCCTGGGTATATTTATCTGTGGGTTATAAATAGCAGTTGCAGCCTGCTAGTTAGTCCTACTTCAGTGCTTGCCTTTACCTGTGTGTTGGAGCCAGCAACGTGAAGCTAAGCTATTGGTGAAAAAAGTTTGGGTTCTTTGTTTATTTGTTTTAATAAGGTTTTTAAAGAGTATGTATAACTGCATGCACACTATTTTAAGTTACCTGTAAAATACTTAAGAACTTGATGGTGATTTATACAATGTGAAATACGCTGAAATTTAAAATCTGTATGAAGGTGGTTTTCAAAATACAGTGTAACTTGTCAGCAATAGAATCATAAAATGCGCATTATATTAAATATTTTATATTAGTTGTGTATCAGCAGTATCAGAATTGCTATGCTTCTAACTTTTATAGGCGAAGGTAGACACCTATAGACTGATATTAAATTTAATACATGTATTTTTCCAATTATTTCAGTTAATACACCTATTAACGAGTATTCTGCAATAGCATGACGTACTTCTTGGTTTATAGACTACTAGGTGGGGGTTTTTTTTCAGAAAAAGTTTAATGTTTTAACTAGTCATATGAAACATTTACAAGAAAAAAAGTATATATTTGGTTTAGAGCAGTCGAATTACAAAATACAATTATGCCTATTTAAAAAAACCCCAGCGTACACAGAAGAATGTCTATATGAAAGTCATATAGCACTAAATATTATGTAAATTTTTCTATAAAAATGTAAATTGTATATAATATGGACTATATTTATATTACGTGACTGCTGGAAGGCTGTCTGGGTAGAATATGAATTCTGGTTCAAATATATTTGGAAAAAAGTATGCAGCTTTCAGTGATGTCTTGCTATTTAATTAAAATTACATTGTAATTTTAGAAAGATTATTTTTCACTGTTTGACTTTGTTAACTTGTAAATATTTCTGCTAACTTCAGATTCTGGAAGGTTGTGCTCACTTAGTTTTAATAGGAGAAAGTATGTCTTATCCAATGTTGTGTACAGGTGTAGCAACACTGGGTGATTTTTTAAGTTTTTTTTGCTATCAATTTTTTAAAGCTAATGATTTATTAATTGAACTTCTGTTTTCTTCTAGCTGACAGCACGATCACTTCCTTCCATACAGTCTGACGAGAGACTACAACCTCTGCTTAGTCATCTCAGGTAGCGTAAACCGAAAGCGTGAGCGTATTCTTTCATACAGATTAAAATAATTGTATTAATAGAATGTTTTAGCTACAGTGTTTTTTCAGACACCTCATCTGTGCAATTGGCATTGACTGGAAAAAAAACCCTGAAAGTATTCTTTCAACTTAACAAAGTTTTGTAAACGACATGAAACAATTTACAGAGCTGGTGTTGCTTCTCAGTAACAAGAAAATATTTGTAGCTTTTATAAAACCTTTTTTTTTTTATAGTAAGTGCAAAGTTGTCAAGCTTCTTTATGAACAAAACAGATTCCAAATTACACTTCTCAGAGTATGGGTCTTCCTTGTTGCAAATATTTTATGTTTTACGATCTTTTTGGAAGATTTCTCCATCACTGTCATTGATGAATGGAGTCCTGTTTTATTTTAATGGACCTAAGGAAAGAGCTGAAAATGTGAACCCTTAAGAGTGCTCTACAATACAGCTGAAATAGGCTGCCTCCCTCAGTAATATACAGTACAGAGAAGCTTTCTACTTCCTTTGTGTGTGTTTGTGGGGGGTGAAGAGTAAGAAAAAATACTTTTCTGATGTTCTTCAGGTTAAGCATAGATCTAGTCTCTTTCTTATATATGTGTTTGCTTTTCCCCACTTTATATTGTTTGGGAGAGTTTTCTTACTATGGTAGCATGCAGGAGGACAAAGACCACACAATTAGAGCGAGATGCATTGGCTTAGAATTGAATAATTTAGCTTGGAGAGAACCTCTGGAGATCATTTAATCTAGCCCCTGCTCAATGCAGATCCAGTTAGATTGGGTTGCTCAGGTATTTATTCAGTTGAATATTTAATATATCTCAGGGTAGAAATTTACTTAAATATTGAATGTCAGTAATGAAAGCTCTCTTTTTGAACACATACAGCTTTGCATTAAGATTGCTGAAATGATGTTGGAAGAATTAGAAATGGAAGCGGTGAGGCTCCATCATGATAGCACTGCACTGGAATTAAGCTGCAGATCTAGTTAGCATGCTCTTTAGTTCCTATGGTGCTCTACTGCTTGAGGTATCTACCCAGAATCTGACATTTTATTTTGATTTAAATAAAACTTTGTGTAATTTTTATTACATAGGAACAGTTTCATGTTTTATTGCTTTTAGTAAATCAGAATAGGAAAAATAGCTTTCATTGTATCTCTGCTTATTTACATATGATTGAACTTTGTTCAAGAGCAATGAATGAAATAAATATTACAGTGTAACTGTTATGTAGCTGGTTAGGGGATACTTCTGAATGCCAATAACCTTCCATATTTTTATTACCGTACATCTTACTGGGATTTTAAAAAATATGTGTCAGTGGCATACCTTCTTCCATTTGAAGCTAAAGAGCAATTAGGCTAGCTTTATATAAATTTTATAAATTACTTTTTATAAGTTAGTCTCTAGGAGTAATTACCAAGAAATTTGAAATTTCTTTTGATATATGCTATGCATCTATATAAGTGGAACACTCTTCAGTATCACAGCAATCGCAATCCTCTCTGCGCTTTTTTTTTTTTTAAATGGGAAAAGGAAAGGTTGCAAAAAAAGGTAGTTTAACATCAGCTACTTTAAACAGGGATACTGTATCCTACATTTATGCAAAAAGGTATTTTTTGCACATTCTTATATTAACGTTAACTTGGGTATGTGTATTTAATGACTGGTAAGTTACTTCCATTTTGCTTTTGTGAAAACAGGGGGGCTGTTTCCAGTACATTTTGTCACCAATTGAAAAAACTGCACAAATGCTTCCAAGTTGCCTTTTTGGAATTTTCTTTAAAATAGACAAAATACATCAAACCTTACAGCTTGAAAAGCAAGCTCTGGTAGTGAATAGACAGAAGACCAAATAGGTCTTCTCTGTTATTTATTTCTGTGAATCTGTGATTAGTTTTTGCTTCATCTTGCTCATAAGAAAGGAGAATATTAGTGAGTCGTAGGCTTTCCTCTACCTTCGTTGTGTGAATTCTTACAGCAATATTTTATTTTTGGCATATGTCAATAGAGCTTTATCAGGGGAGCAAAAGCTTTGATAGAAATGTGTGAAAAGAGCATACAGTTGAAGGTTACAGGGTATTGTTTGGTTGTTAATGCCCCACACATTTTTTGGCACCTATTCATATCTGCTTGTGACTTTTAAATTAGCTAGTCCTTAGAAAAGGTCATTTTACTGTGGATTATGTCTGCATGGATATTTTAATCCATGCCAGTTTTTTCAAATGAACATAACATATTTTGTAATTGGACTGTTCTGCACTAAATATGTATTTTATCGTGACTTTGATCCCCTCTATTCTGTTTCATTGGCGCTTTCTAATCTTAATTGTACTAGACCAAAAAAAAAAAGAGAACATTTTCAGTTAAAACATTAAAATAACTTGATGCAAGATTGTGCTTAGGGATTTCACATGCTCACAGTAGGTTACAAGGAGATTTAAATTGCTAAAACTTTAGCAATTTAACAGAGATTGAAACTATGTCTAAATGCATGGGAAGAACACTTCTGCAACTCCTGCTTTTAAAGGAATTTATTTGGGGGTTTGTGATTAAATTAGAGTGTTGTACCACTCTACTGTTTAAAATCTTCAGTAGGAATAGTTTCAAAGTTAGCCAACCCTGTTGTATGTGATCCCACCAAACGACTATAGGACTGTGCTTGTACATGAGTTATAAGGAGAAGCTGAGCTGATTTTGTTTAGTCTGGTGAAGAGGAGGCCTAGGGATGATCAAATAGCGTCCTAGAACTGTTTGAAGGACAAACATCACAGCACTGGAATTCTTGATGGTGCCAGAGGATGTAACAAATGAGAGTGGTCACATAGCTTGGGAGGTTTAGATCGGATGTTAGGAAAAATGCCTATGGTAGAGGGATGGTGCAACAGATTGCCCAGAGATGTGGAATCTTGGTTTGTGGAGATTTTTAGGAATTGGCTAGAAAAAGCCATGGCTCACCTCACTGGTGTTGACAGTAGCCCTACTTAAAGTGGGGTGTGGGACTAAATGGTCTTCTAGCATCCTTTACAGCCAACATTTATATGATTCTATTAATTCTGTCTTCAAATGATGAGTTCATAAGGTTGATACGGAAACCAAGTGTTTTGCAAGACTGGAATTTTTTAACAGATAACAGAATACTCATGCAGAAATATTCACCCTCCTTCTCACATTCATCTCACAAGCAAGTAAAGAAGAATGCACGTCTTAATAGACCGGTGTAATTTACTATCCTCAACATTTACAAACTGCCCTTCATACCCTCACTAAATCTCATGATATACCAACACATCTGTGAATAATACAATATTTATCAGAACGGTCCTACTGCTGTTTATTTGAAAGGCATAGATCCCATTCTTGGAAGCATTGATGTAGAGGAGGTTTCTTCTTGGTCAGCAGCAGTGCGAAATCACCTATGGTCTTTAATTGCAAGATATGTTTAGAAAACTTTCAGTAACTAAGATTTTGGATTTTGGAAAAACAGGTTTTGAGTGATTGTGTCAGGCTGAATGGAGAGAGACGGGAATTTATACATGGAGGCAAAATAAAACTGTTTAAGTGAAAAGTGAGGATGTTACTGCTTGCATTCCAGTAAACCACAAAAAGAAGTTATGAAGAACTATAGATATTTCTGGGTGAGTAAAAAGCTTGAACAGGAGGTAACCTCAGAAGCTATGTGGAATAAAAAAAAGGATGAGTCCAGAATCAGAGCTAAAACTGGAAGCAAAAAACAGGAGAAGAAAGCGAGGTTGATCACAAGCCTGGTTAGTTTGTGTTGTAATGTGTTTTCAAACCAACAGTAGGAAAATGTTTGGCAACGTTTAATTACATGAAAAAGTGAGGGCCATTGTTCGTAGAATAAAGGATAGTCTTAATTTTTATTTTTTTTTTTAATTTGCAAGGTTGTTGAGATTTTTTAATAGAAACATAGAGAAAATAATGGCAATCTGTGGAGAAAGCAGTGTGATTTTTCTTGTGATGAAACCAAGGGACCCAGGGAATCTCTACTGTAGAAAATCAGAACACCTGGCATCCAAAGTTGCAAACCCAAAAGCTCTAGCATTTCCTTGGGACAGGAATCCAACAGCTTAGCTGCCAAAGGCCTCATGACTAGTGCTGGCCTCTTTATGCCCAGCTCTAATCTACCACATATTCTGGATTGATAAAGCATATTCTTTTTCAGAGCACCACCTTCAAAGGCAATTTGTAGGGTTCAGCTCTTTGGTGAGTGGTGTCGGGTATCAAGAAACTTTGACCTTGCAATGGTCATATGCTACTTTTTAATGTAAAAAATACGGAAACATTTATGGAAAACTGCTTACCATGCTGAGAATATTTCAGCTTCTCAGAGTCTGAAAAGTAGAATTTTTTCTCTCTCTGCCCCCAGCATTGAGTTTTCTGTACTTGCAGTAGAATCATAGAATTTTTTAGGTTTTCTACCAAGTCCAGACGTAATGGTAAGCAAGATTCAGAGAGTATGACCTCTTTTTAGCAGTAATTTCTGAACTCTTATTTTGTTCACTTACTGTATAGGAAAACTCTTGTGTCTTCTCTTTGGACCTCCTCTTCCCACACCATTCCTTTTTATGCATGCTAGGAATAAGTGGTTTTCTTCAGCTTAGCATTTTTTTTTTTAGTGTTGGTATGATTAAAATAAATACTATAGGATAGAAGCAAATGATCTAAAGTGATTATGGTAGAGCAGCTTAAGAAGTTACCAGCACTCATCCTGGGATGTGATAACTGGCTGAACGGTCATTTTCCTAATTGGTTGTTTAAAAAAAAAAAAAAAGTTGCCAAAGCAACAGCTGTTTTCTGTTGTTCTGTGGTTGGGTTGTTGTTGTGATTTTTGTTTTGTTTGTACAAAAGTGATGCAGATCTGGTTCTACAAGAAAATCTAGATACTTCTTTAGTAGAATCAGTAGTAATAGACATACACAGCTCAAATACTTTTAATTATTTATCCCTTGTTGTGTAATGAAAAAAAAATCTATTAAGTACAGTAAGCTTTACTAGTGCTCCAGTGTGTGCCAGAAATAAGACTAAAGAACGAATGAATGCATGTATAATTAAACAAACTATTTGTACTGTAGTAAAATCAACTCTTAGCTATATACTTCTCACACTTTACAGTATTGAAATGTCAGAAAACAATCTATAGCACCTAGTATCATTTAGCTAAATTCCTTTCTTCCGAAGTTAGCCTCTATATGCCTTCAAAAAATTTAAGAAATGATCTTTGTAAGTTCTTCTCCTGCACGAAGAAATTTGTTCTTGCCCAGACTTTGCAACCTGATTTTTAGACCAATATGCTGTATCCAAAGCCCCTGTTTGCTTTAGTGCCTGTTGTACTGTCAGCTCTTGCGTTTGGTTGGGTTCTGCGGTAAGCATTTCTCTTGGCCTATTCTGCAGCCCTGCACACATCGTCATTCAAGAAGTCTACATATTTAAAAGCTGGACATTAGATGCTTGTATCTGATTTGAAATTACTTTGGTGACAATGTCTACATGACTGTCTCTCCTGTAGCGTAGGGTTACCTGAACTTAGCTCAGGTATCAGAAACAGCTTTGTTGCAGCATGAATGAAAGATGAGGCAGTACATGCAAAGTCCTGTGCTATTTCAGCTAGACAGCTCCTGTCAGGAGTTAACATGTGTTTGTATGTCAGTACTTCAGTAAAAGCCTTCCTAGCTTTTTATTGACACACTTAAGTTTTTGATTTTTTACTTTTCCCCCACGGTCGATGTTCATAGTAATACATCAGGTTTTTTGTTTGCTTGTTTGTGTTTTTAAAATGCTACACAAGTAACAAAGTAGAAGAGGTTCTTGATTACTGGAAGAAAGTAAAAGTGAACCCTACATTCACAAAGAGTAAGGAGAAGGATCCATGGAACTATAAGCTGGTCAGCCTCATCTCAGTTCCAGACATATGAAGAATAAGGAAGGTGAACAGGAGTGGTCAGCATGGATTTGTGAATGGGAAATTATGCTTGACTAACCTCGTAGCTGGTCATTTTATCATAGAAGGCTCAACAGATGGGGAGAAAGCAGTGGATGTTATTTATCTTGGCTTTAGCAAGGTTTTTGACACTATCTCTTCTTCCTTATTGACAAATGATGAAGTATGGGCTAGGTAAATGAATGGTGAGGTGCACTGAAAACTGGCTGAAGTGCTGTGCTCAAACATTTGTGATCAGAGGCATTAAGACCAGCTGGAGGTCCATCACTAGTGGAGTACCTCTGGTATCGATACTGGTTCCTATATTGTTTAGCTGCTTCTTTAGTGTCCTAGGCGATGGTATAGAGTGCTTATTCAGCAAACCTCAGATGGTACAAAACGGGGAGGAATGGTTCACACCAGATGGGTGTGCTGCCTTTCAGATGGATTTGGGCAGGCTGTAGAAATGGGCTGACAGGAACCCAATGATGTTCAACTAAGAGAAATACCAGCTCTGTATCTGGGGAGAAATAACCCTGTGTACCAGTATAGGCTGAGGGCTGAATGGCTGTGGAACAGGATTGCAGAAGAGGACCTTGGGGTCCTGGTGGACAACGAGCTGACTATGAGCCACCAGTGTACCCTTGAAGCAAAGAAAGCTAACAGTCTCTTGGGTGGCATTGGGAAGAACACTCCCAGCAGGTCAAGGGATTTGATCCTTCCCCTCTACTCAGCACTGGTGAGGCTACATCTGGAGGGCTGCGTCCAACCCTGGGCTCCCCAATACATATGAGGAGAGGCTGAGAGTGCTGAGATTGTTCAGCCTGGAAGAGATAAATTGCAGGAGTGTGCATGTGTGAATCTTGTCAACACATATAAATAGGTGGCTGATAAAGAGGGAGTAAAGAAGACATAGGGGACTCTTCTCAGTGGTATCCAGTCATAGGCCAGGAGGCAATGGGCACAAACTGATACACAGGAAATTCCACATTTGAAAGCACATTTTTCTGTCAGGGTGGTCAAATACTGGAACAGGTTGCTCTGAAGATTATGGAGTCTCTGTCGTTGGAGATGGTCAAAACCCAGCTTGATCAGATGCTAAGCAATGTGCTGTAGTTAACTCTGTTTTGAGCAGGGGGTTGTACTAGATGGTCTTCAGAGGTCTCTCTCAACCTCAGCAGCAGTGTGATCCTGTGATCTGGATTCTGAGTGACCTGTCATCACTTCTTTTAGGTAAAGGGAGGGAGGGTTTCTTTACCACATTGATTCAAATGTTGGTTTTATAAATCTTAATTACTTATATAACTGTCAAATACTGTTTTTGTGGTTTTGCCTGATATAAAATATTTGCAGCCCTTAATTGGTAAAAGAATTTCTTTCTAAATTTTGTAAACTTAAAAAAAAAATTTTTTAACAGTTTTAAACAATGCTGTTTGCTTTGTTTTTCAGCCATTCTTACGTTGGCCCAGATTACAGCGTGCAAAAGAACACTGGAAAAATTTCTCTAGAACAGATCGATACTGTAAGTCCTCTGTGTTTACTGAGTTATATTGTATGTTGATATGTAACTTTTAAAATTCAAGTACTCTATGTACAGACAGCATACAAAGCCTTTATCTTTTTTGATTCGTATTTCTTTGTCACTCCACTACTTGAATGGTGATAAAGGTTAAAATGGAACAGAATTAACTGAAAATGCATCTAATCAGGATTTAGACTGGAGCTGTAATGAATTGCTTAATTTGCTGCTTAATTTTGTGTACTTTCACAAATACCTAACATAATTATAAAGAGTTTCACAAAATTTTCTTAGTTCATAATTTTGCAACCCATGATGTTTAGTTTATGATTATTGCATTGCAGATTTAGTCTTTTCAATGCTCTTTCTTGGACTTTTGATGTACAGAAGGGTTTTTCAAAACAAGGAAGTAAATAAAATTAATTGTAAAACCACATTGATGGTGCAGAGACAATTAAAACCACATTACAACTCCTTTATCTGAACTTTAGAAATCGTTTGTGTTTTCAGTGTCCATCTCAACCATGACAGTGCTCCTTTGGTAGTAAATTCCATGGCATGATTCAAATGTTAAAAATAAAAATGCAAAGCCCAAGTAAACTTGAGTGTTACATTTTTTATCTCTGAGATCTTGCTTTATAAGAAATAGTATTCTTCAGGGAAAAAAACCTGGAGGTCAGTTGCAATGGATTTTAGTCCTGCTTATAGTTTTTCAAAGTTATTTGACAAAAACCCACTCCCTCCCCCAACCCTCATAAACTCTTAACAAAGGTCACCTTTGCCATTCCAGAAGCTAAAATAAGGATGAAGCAAGAAATATTGTAATGGAACTGTGGATGTATTTTTCCTGACAGCAATTAAACCTGTGTTACTTTGTAACTGAAGATAGTCCGATACTACCCACCTGTATTATCCCATCATTTGGATTTTGTTCTTGAGATGGTTATTGGATTTGATGGTTTATGGACACATTTGTTTTATCATCCATCCCAAGGCGCTCTGCACATGCATATCTTTTCTTCCAGCCATTGGCATTTTCAGCTGGAGCTAATTAATAATCACAATAAGCATATATCCTACAAATTAAACAAACAGTATGCCTTAAACACAAATTTTTCTCTTGACAGCTTTCTGTGAGATCATTCCCTCTTTGCATGCGCCAGTTGCACAAAGCCCTGCGTGATAACCATCATCTCCGTCACGGAGGCCGTATGCAATATGGACTGTTCTTAAAAGGCATTGGCTTGACTCTGGAACAGGCATTGGAATTTTGGAAGAAAGAATTTATCAGAGGAAAAGTGGATGCAGACAAGGTAATTCAACAAATGAAAAATATCTAAATATGTGAATGTGAGGTAGTTAATATATACATTGTGATACATACCGAATAGATGCTTGTTAAAGTAGATTATTGGGCAAAAGGCACAGTAATGTCTTTTAAAGGTGGGGTTATTTTTCCTCTCTTTGCTTATGATTTTATTCATTTTTTTGGTCATTTGCCTGAAACGTGTGGAAAAAAGGCAAGCCACAAAGAGGCTTTTTATAGATGAGGACTAGAAAAATCTTACTTTACCACTAAATCACTAGGAAAACAATGTCCTTTATGAGATATAGGTACTATGTAACTGAACTAATTCACCAAACAGGTAAGTGACCACAAACAGTACTATCTGAAAGGCAAGCTTAGCCTTTTTTGTTGGTTAATTTAAAAAAAAAAAAAAAAATTGGACAGCTGTGTGTGAGGTGAGCTTGCCTTAGCAAATTTACAGTCTAAGAATAGAAGGAGAAACTGGAAGTGAAAGAAGACAGAATATGTTCAAGGAAATAGTGAGAAAATGCTCTTCAGTACAATGGGCATTATTATTGACATATTAGTCATTGGTCTAATCCTTGCTAATGTTTTTGAGAGTGAGGAAAGTATAACATAACGTGCTGCCTTTTTGAGAGCATGAAAAATGTATGCTGATTTTTGGAGGTCTGTGACCTGCTCCTTGTCTTGAACAGCTTAGGTAGAATCAAGCAGGATTCCTTACTTATCTGTCTCTGCCAGTCCTGCAGTATGTGTTAGAGCAGATGTTTCAGATGTTATGTCAGTTTTGTTTGCACTCTGATACTTTGCATTTAATACTGTGAGATCTCAGCTTTCCTGAGTACTATGAAGTATTTTGGAGTGTTTGCTAGACAATCTTCGTTAGTTTAGGTTCTCTGGGACATGGCTATTTATACAAGATATGGGGCAAAAAGTAATGCTGGCTACAATGAACTATGGTATGTATGTCTCGTTTCAAGTCCCCGAACATAGATCAACTCGTCTGCAGGTTTTTTGGGAAGGGGAAAGGGATTTGAATGAGTACCTAAACTTCTGTAAATCTAGTTCCTTAAATGGGATATGATTTAAGAGGAGATATGTTTTTTGTTAAAAAAGAAATCCAAAATGCATTCTCTTACAAAGGTTTCAAGAAAGCATTTGAAGAGAGGTAATAACTTAAATTTTGCAGTTGAATGCCAATTAATTACTAACTGAATTCAGGAAAATACAGACTTTTTAGTTGCAGTTTCTTGTGCTTAAAGGAAATTGAAAGAATAAAAACAAGCAGTCAGAAACAATAATAATGTAAATATATACATTTATTATTTCTATTTTTAAAAAATATTGTGCGGACAGGTCCGATTCCACCTACTTGTGCTTTGAACTTAGGTGTATGCACATGTATGAAGACATGTATGCACCTTGGATTCTGTTTTAAATCACAGGGTTATGACTTTCTACTATAGCATCTCTCTTGATAAGCCCTAGAAATAAATGAAGTTTTATGATCTTGTGTTTAGCTTTGAAAGTTAGAAAGCATATTGTGAATGAAGCAAGGTGTTATAGTTACTGCATTTTTCACAAGCAGGCTGCTATTTCCTTGTAATTTTCATTCTTCTTTTCAAGTTCTAAATAACCAACTTTAGACTGGGATTAAAAAAAAGATGATTTTTCATACCTGTAACTGAAGTCAGTAGCCTGTGTTTTTTCACAGTAAAATGTCCTATAATGTTTAATGTTCTGAAAAAAATGAAGATTAATACTATTCTTATTGGTACTTTCTTCTTTTGACGTTTTTATTTTCTGACACTTATGCCATTGTTCCTTTCCTGTAGAGTGGAGATAATTATACTGTTTTGTCTTACTGGAGCATTGTGAAGATACATGCATGATACTTGCTAAAGAGTAACGTTAATTATTCATTACTGACTGGTGTATTGCAAAGAGGGAGTGTTCAATTCGCTGTAAATGGTTAAGGTTTCAAAATTATGTTCACATTTGTCTTTAATGGCTGCAACATTTATGCTAGTTCTCAATCCTAAGAATTCTTGGCACAGAGCTTCAGTCTTCAACAGGAAGGAAGATACCTTGAACAAACACATCAGCGGCACAGTGGAGTGCCTACCACCAGGCTAAGCATAGGTACAAGGAAAATTTGCACCAAAAAGAACTCCTCCTGTACTCTGAATCACTGATGTGGACATACTCCAAGGCTCATTGATAAAAACACTGTAGAAAAGTTTTTTTTAGAAACAACATTTTACCTTTAGAGAGGAATCTGTAAAGTACATTGTAAATGAAGTGTGAAACCATGTGTTCGGTGGAAGAAAAAAATCAAGTATTGCCTACAAAGAAAGCACTGAAACTGGTAGAGATGCTCTCTTGGCGGGGAGTGATCATGTACTGGCATGTTCACAACAGAGACAAATGGAGAGCACAAAATAATTTTTTTTTTTCTTTAGGCATTGTAATTAAAATTACTCTGCAAATTGCTAGGCTAAGAGTGCCTAAATGGTAAATTATTATTGTTCAGATGACGGGATCAACTATCAAATGGTGATAGATGTGTTATTTCTGAGTGAATGGTTATGGCAGTTGGCTTTATAACCTCAGTGTTATTTTAAGGCTGCTTTGGTTTTTCTATAAAATGTGATCTTACTCTAAACAGATATTAATCCCCATAGTTTCTTTCACGTCCTGGTCCTGTGGCTTAAAAATAAATCCCCCTTGCCCCAAAAAAAGAGGGGCGTAACTCCGGTATGCTTTTAAAATACTTGAAACAAGAAAGTAATAAGGTAAACCACGATGAATTAAATAAATACAGTAGAGTTGTAAAAATGCTCTGGTAGTTGAAAATAAAATCCTCTTATAGCAGTGATCATTACTTGGCTGTTATTGTTTTCAGATCTATTTGTATGATTAGTCTGTGAATGTGAAATCAGAGACTTGAAAGATCATGCAGTGTTTAGAACAAAGGAAAGAATGAAAGCTGGATCAATTTCTTTAAGGCATTATTCGCTTACTTCTTTAGCTAATAGCCTGGAATCGAGGTTTCGATACAGGTGGATGACTTTAAGGCAAGCCATCACTTTCTGCTTTCCTTTGCTACATATATACTTGTGATAGAGATTTCTTTTCTTAGCAGTATTTGGTGCACAGTGGTATGACATGTTGTCTTCTAGTACTCTGATTATTTACCCTTTTTTTACAGAAGAGATAGTTGCTAGTTGTGCACTTCTGTGTTGAAAATAATTCTCTTGATATTGCAATTTGATATTGCACTGATTTTTATTATTGTTGCATATGCTACTGAAATGCATCTGACAATTGTGCAAGAGTTTGTTTGTTTGTTTTTTAAATAAATCTCAAAAATGTAAGTTTTCCTATATTTACGAAATTATCCTGATGACAGATTAGTTTTCTTGTCCTTGTGACTTCTTACTGAGACATGTCTCTTTAGCCCCTGTGTTCTAGGATTCTTTCCTGGGGCATGTTGGTGGCATTCAGGCTAGTGAAGCCTCTTATTCTTCCTGACTTAATTTTCCAGATCATCTTACTGCAGTTTCATATGGCTTGTTGTTTCTGTAGCAGTTGTTCACAAGTAGCAATGAGCAGGTTGTTTTCTCCTTCTCAGAGGTTCCTGTCTGAGGTATGAATCCCACTAGTGAAGGTCCTCATGAGACATTTTCCTGGAAGAAGGAAGAGGAAAGTTTTACTGACACTTAACCTTGCTCAGTCTGTGATTGGTAAAGAAGCAAACCTTTCACAATAAACCTTTTAAGTTTCAGTTGATTATTAATTTATTCTAAATGTTTCTTCCACACATGATGATATCATGTATGACACTGAGGAAAGACAACTTGCCAGGCATATACTGCATCAGTGTGCAGAGGAATACATCTCCTACTCTGTTAAGAAGTGGTGAAACTTTGGGATGAAGATACATCCCAATGAGATAGTTCCAGTGATTTGATTTTCCTGGCTCTTCCTTTTTTTTTTCCAGATGATCTTAGGAGGTCCTTGAATCTGGATTCAGGAGTGAGGCTTGACCTTGATTGCAAACAGCTAGTGGTGAATGTTTCTACCAGGGCCAACCAGAAACTCCATGAGGGGGAGCTTGGACTAGAGACCTCCTGAGGTCCTTTCCAGACTGAATTATCCCCTGATTCTGCATACAGGTCTGAATACAGTTAGAAATACATTTTTGTGAGGGCCAGCCGCTAGAGGGAGACAAGATCATAAGGAATAAAAAAATACAACCTATAGATGTAAATTAGAAGTGCTTGTGCCATAATGCTTTGTAGGTCTGTATAGCTGTATTAGTAACACCACCCACCCCCATGTATTTAAATGAAAATAGAAATGGGCACTTGATAATCTGCAGGGCAGTGCTTTTAAGCACACACAACTATCCCCAGTGCAATTTGTAATGCATGGATGATGTGGTGGTTCTTTAGAACAGCTTCCACCTCCTTAAATCCCCAGGAATATTTTCTTTATCAGTCAGTTGGTTACATTTGGTTTTTGTATTTTACTTTCTCATTTGTTTGAGATTTAGGGGTTGATTTGCAGCTAGATTCTTTTTTTACTTGCCCCCTTTATATTGGGTAATGGTGCCTACTATTTTGGGAACAAATTTTGATTCATAAATGAGAAAAGGTTCTTTATTCTGTCACATTTTTAAGTATAATTCTGTCATTGAGTGTCATTTGCTACTTTTATTCTTGAGTTATTTAAACTTTACAAATCTGCAGCCTAGAGTGACATGTTGAACAGCAAACCACAATATTTGACATCTAAGAGATAAAGATATAAATATAATTGAAATTCCTCTATTCAGAGTAAAATCTTATCTTTTTTTAATTGTACATCAGTAGTACTGTAATGCAAATAGATGGCTAGGCTTGAATTCTCCTGAGATGTGTAAAGGCTACTACAGAGCTTCAAAAAAATGTTTGCTCTCTTCTAGGATTTAAAAAAATGTAATAAAAGTGCAGCATATAT